TCTTGCAAATTCCTCATAAGCAACAGGAGTTCGGCCAGGATTTGACTGGTTTCTGTCTCAGTGTCTAGACCAGCCTATCCATGAGAAAAGTGCTAGGATAGACTGTCATCTTCATTGCTCTCCCTGCTGAGGGGAGAGCATCCAGGGCTGCTGCTGAGAAGGAAACAGCTCCTCTGCACCCTCAGGCAGGCCAACCCTTCACTCAGGAGTGGGGCACAGCAAAGACCCAGCAGCCCAGAGAGACTTCAGTTCCCCTTTGTGGTCCATGAGCAAGGAAAAGAGTTCATGTGCAACCCTTTTCCTCTTACTCAGCATCAAGTGGAGGGAGAAGGAGTCCAGGTACAGCACCTGCAGCAGTCCTCTGCCCTTCCAAGTCTGGTGGAGAGGAGAGAAACCTGGGACAACTCACTTTTTCTCAAACTGTGTGAGCTCTGCACATGCACCAAACTAAGTCTTTCTCCAAGAAATGATGCCTTCTTAAAATTTAGGCATGGCCTAATCAAAGTCCCATTAACACTAAACAGGACACATACAAGCAATTTTTAAAGATGTAACTACATCTTTTTACCTTTCACCAGTCTAAAAAAGAAAATGAAGCAACAACAATAACATAAATCTAATATTCTCTTGCACAAAATACAAAAGTTTATGTTGTTCTGCTGCTAAGAATCAGCTGACATTACATCTTGCGATCTCTGAACAATCTTATTATTAATATTTTCCATTTAAGTCTTTCTTTTTTTATGTGCTGCTGGCAAGCCATTTTCTAGCTGCCTACACTTGTAGGACATATCAGTCCTTAGCGAACAGAAATCAGTTGCAAACATGAAGGTATGTTTACAGGCAGAGTGACAACAACAGACATTCTTCTGTTGATGACTCTTGTCAAATGTAGTAATTAATATATTTGAATAGCTTTAAACAAAAGAAGCAAACAAAACATTTAGTTTTTTTTAATTCAGAACAATTACTATGTGGTATTCTGTTGCTTGTTCTGTTATCAGAAATGTAAAATAAAAGTAGTTAACTAGAGTTCAGCCTCCATTTTCCAATTTTCAGAGGAAGCATCATATGAATATGGGAGCCAGCATCCACAACGCAGGCTTGAGGCTGCTGTTCTTCTGGATGAGGTATGTGGGGGGCCAGGCCAGTGCATTTGTTCTTGCCCTTTACTACAGCTGATATAGCAAATCACGATGGACTGGAGATAGAGTTCAATCTGCACCTGCAAACACCTCGTTCAGTTGGTGTGCCAGCTGGCTGGACACACCCATTTTGGAAATCAGAACTGGTCTTCAAGCTGTTAATTCACCACCACTAGCCTCCAATATTCCTTAAAATTTTGCAAAATAAAATATTTTTGGTTTTGCTGTTCTTTTGGTAAACCAAAACCAACATACAAATGATAGCTATTGCTCTCAGTTATCACTTCAGTGTGGCCAATATTATGACAACTTAGCATACACGCAAGAACTTCATATGCTCTTAAATATTCTTATGCTCTGTTTTGTGCTGACCAAAGGGCCCAGTCCAAACCCTGCTCATCCTTTTCCATCTACTGCATGTTTCCAAGATAAAAGCTGAAGCAGGGCCTCTGCTCATGCAGTGGAGAAGGACTGTAGCAAAAGCAGTACAAAGAAAACCTTGATGGCTCCAGCTCTGGTTTGTGCTGCTTGCTCTGCCACCAATGTGAACTGCTCAGATCTGAGCTCAGCTCAGGTGGGGGGCAACAGCAACAGCAACAACAACTACTACTACTGCTACTATTACTACTACTACTACTACTATTACTACTACTACTACTACTACTACTACTACAAAAACACCAGCAGTTGGCTTGCCTCTCCATAATAATTTCCCAAACTCTTGTTCACTTAGAAGCCTTAATAGTAGCATGTGTTAGTACATATCCACATTGTTTATGATTCAAGATCATGAAAAGATTCATGTGGCAGTGTTTAAACTATCTGAAATTAATAGGTTCTGGTACTGATTCTCAACTTGGCTGTTGAGAGTAAGGGAAATGTTGAACATTGTCAGGATAATCTCAATTTCCTAAATCTGATTGTTATATATGAAGTCTACTCTCTTACTAAGTACTCCAAAAAAGAAAATGGGAATGTTTTCATTGATTTCAAGGCAAATTTATTGAGGCTACTTGTCACCTAATCAACTTCACAGGTTACACCCACTGAATTTAAACGCAAAATTTGCAGATTCCCATTTTCCCCATCTTTTTAATTAATAGGATTTTAGACTTATTTCTCTAAAATATATAATTTGGGGTAATCCAAAGGGTTGGACACACTTTTCATTTTATATATAAATTAATACTTTAAGAAGAAAGGCCAAAAATAACCTGTACATAAACTTGCCGAAGTCAGCAGACAAATTTCTCAGAACTGATCTTACTTATCTAAGCTTCTTTTTAATCCGGGACTGAACACTTGCACAGAAAGTGTAAGTGCTGCCTAAATGCTACATCCAGATATTATTCCAAAAGTCCATGATCAATTGTTATTTTTACTTCCACAACTGTTTCTTGACCCCTGTCTTCTCCTCTTGTCTGGCAGAAGACAACACTTGTGTCGTATCTCTTTGCCTGGCTACGTTAGATAGAACCAGAGTGCTACACGCAACACCAGCTTCATTCTTATTTGGTGGCTTTAGTTTGTCACTGTGTAAAGCAATGTGATCACGCTTGCTTCTGAATGCTGGTACAAGATTCAAATTGAGAGTGCCTGAGCATTTCTAAAAGACACCATTACCCATGATTTCCATCCATACTTACAGCAGTCCTGTAAGTATTCAGAATCCTAGAGGAAAGTTTCCATTTGCAGACCAAGCCTACCATGCCAATTTTATCCAGCTACTGCAAGCCAAATTGAAAGTGCAATAATAAAAATTCACAAGAGATATTTCCATTGAAAACATGAAGGGTTTTGGTTAAAATCTTTGAGTATTAAGAAACCACACTAGGCCATGCCCAGAAATCTTTTTATATGGTGATTTTCAAGATGCATGCATTATTGTGAGCACATGGTATGTAAATGCATTGGGCTGCTTAATAAGCATTCAGTGACACACATCTGCAGCTTTGCTAATGTACCTTTTATTCCTATGTGGTTGTCAAGGAAACAGGTTATGGCCCAGTATTCTGTCTAAAATGTATTAAGCAAGTGTTCTATGATAATTTACTTAAAATAGGTACAACTTGGGTTTTGTGGCTCATTGCTTCTGTAAATGCAGGTAACCTGAATTTATCTAATTGTAATGTTTCACTGATTAGTCTAAACCACCAATGCCATTTTATTGCCTCTGAAAATCCTTTACATTTTCTGTGTCACACAACATTGCTTATTAAAAGTAAATTTAATTACAGAAAACATTTTGAGATATTCTAGGAATTGAAGAGGCCTTTTTGACTTGTGGGGTTGTGGTTTTTTGGGTTTTTTAAAAATTTGATTCCTTACCATACATTCTGCCTAGTAACCTTAATTACTTATTTCAGTTTAAAGATTCCACAGCAAGAATGACTTCAATGCAACCAAGCATTTCCTACCAAAATTTGTGCAACTAGTGTCCCTGAAATCAGTGGGATTCTCCCTTTCTTATACCCTTTGGTACCAAGGACCACATTAAAAATTAATGAATTAATCAGACTTTCACTGATTCTTTCATTCGATACAAGTATATCTTAAATCTAAAGCACAGATACCAGGCATACTTATACTAACCAAGGTTATTATTGGACATTCACAACAAGATAAAAGGAAACTGCTAATATTTGGAAAAACCGTGCAAAATGTGAACTGTTATTTTGAAATATCCTTAGTGATTATTTATCACAATACCATACCTGAATCTACAAACTGCTCTTTCCAGCTCATGAATCAAGAGTCTTTTTACTGTCCCTGATTAAAGTAATGTATAAAGGTAGAGATTCTGTGAACTGTACCCAGCTTAACCAACACAAGAGTGTCAGAAACAGGCAGTGGCACTGAGAGTTCCTCTGCCTTTCCTGTGTGGCACAGGTTTGTAATGAACACTCGTGACTGGGATTCAGAGCTAACATTCTGGCATGCTCAGGAGGTTTGTGTGCATACCAGTATGTTTGGTTTGTGCAGATCACTGGAAGCTCTAACAACCTGTTTCAAAAACTGTTCTGTCTGATTCTGTTTGTCCAATCTCTATGGGAATAGAAATCCAGTAGGAACTGGAAAAATCCAACAATATTGACATTAGAATAGAGCAATGTGGTACCATAGTGAGAACAAATCTTAAATTATTGTAATAAATTAGAAATTAGCAGAAAATATACTCAGGTAATGAATTGGTGATGGTGTTAAATAATTTAGTTCTATTTCTGTGTGAGATCACCCCATAAACTTACCCACCTAAAATCAGGTTGTTCTTCTGTTAGAGTCTTTTAAAAGTGGTATTGACAGGTATTTTCAGCAAAACCATCTCAGTAATTTTGTGAACTGTGTGGCTACAGTGTATCAGCCTGCAAAGGGAAAAAGTCCAAATTTAATGACTGATTATTAGATGAGTACTAATTTCCACATACATTGTGTAATTCATCAGATTTTTCCCTGGGGTGCTATAGGGCTCCAAATCTACATCTGGGAATTTTAGAACACACTCGCAATAAACCAGTAGCATTAACCAAACTTCTGCTGCATTGTTTTATTATGGTTTATCCTGTGTTGTGCATACTGGACATTATGATATGTTCTAGACAGAAATGCAAGGATGTTTTCAAGTTTAAAGTAATTATTTTGAAAGACATTTTCTTTCTTCTCTTTCTCTTCCACCACTTTTCTTTTGATCTCTCTTGTCACAGATATCACCACAGTATTTGTGATAATGACATTTCTAGGCAGCTCTTGTTCTCTGGAATACACTTCCTGTATTTCTCTGCTTAAATGATTATTCATCACTGTCAAACATCCTGATTTTATTATTATGTATCAAACATTCTAAAAAGATTTTCTTGTAACAGTATAAAAATTAAGCGGAATAGGGTTTTGTTTCAAAGATACTGAAAAAAATGAAATTGTTCCATAGAGAAATTGCAAAATCATGCAGATAAGGCTTTATGACTCAGCTGATAGGCATTCATACAGCAGCAAATATGGAGCAGCAATTAAAAATACATAGTTCCATCCTCCATTTGCAAATACACCATATGCTCTTAGCAATAACATCGTACAGGAAATACAGGATCCATTACTTTGACTTGAAAAGGTAAGAAGGTGAGCTAATTATTTTTTGTTGTTGTTGGTTTAGCCTTGTACATTTTTAGTATATGTTAATTTGAATAAGAAATCTGTAACTCACATCTGCCAGAATGAAAAAAAATGCAGTAAGTCATTATTATTACCTCAAATTCCAATAAAGGCATATTCATAAATGACCAAAATAGGATAAATGGGAAGCTTAAACATTATGTTTGGAGGAATCCAACAGTTAAAGATCTTACCAAAGTTAAAGATTTCCCAAATTTGATAATAGTGGAATTCAAATACATTATTCATAATAAATCCTTTTTAATACTTAGTGAAGACATTTATGTGATAAAGCACAACAGATACTAGATACCTCAAAAGGGTTAATTGGTACCTATTCATTACTACCAGAATCTATTTAATAGTCTGGCAAATATTATCTGAACACAGGTGATTTCCCACTGAGAGACCTGCACTTTCAAATCAGAATGAAGTTTAGAGGCAGAAGTAACCTTGATTAGAAAGACCATTGAAAAACAAGTAGGACAGTGTCCAAGTGAATATTTTTTTTTGTTTGATTTAATTTTTACTCATGCTTTGTTTAGATTTTCTGTTAGGCAGAAATGGAATTTGCATGGATAAAGGAACAAATTCCAATTATAAAAAGGGTGGTTCAGTATCAACAACCCGACTTCTATGGTAAAACTAAACACCCCCTCCCCCAACCCTCAACAAAATAAACCCAAAAGCCCGAACAGGCCCCCCTGACAATAGCATTTGCAGGCTGTGCTGGAGGTGGGAAAAACTGCACCTGCTCCTCCATGCCCTGGTTAGCCCCCTTAGCAAAAGAATAAAATGGATGAAGTTTAAAAAAGATTTTTTATGGCATCTCTGTCTACAACATTCTGACACTGTGCATTAGGTGGATGTAAGTGCCACTGAAATACATACAGCAACCCACATATAACAGTCAAAACTGGAAACAGCTTGCTAATTACTGGACTCCTCCTAAATAAAGAACTTGGTTTCTTTCGCTAGAAGAAATTACCATTCATGGCTGCCAATGAGTTTTTCCAGACTCATGAAAGCACTTGAGTTCAGTATTTATTACAAGAGGACTTGCACCCCTTAAAAAAGAGCAAATCAGCAAATGGGTTTAAAACAACCATAGGGAAATGTGCTCATGTAATGGAGCTGCTTTTTAAAAATTGTTTGAGTGGGTATGTTTAAACACAAAGATATAATAAAAACAGTTTATTGCTAAGTGCCCCATATTTTCTAAAGATAAGTATCAGAGGCAATAAATAGATTAGACATATCATTTGCTCAGCATTTCCTTTAAAAATAACCACACAAGAAATAAATAAAGAAATGTACTTTCTTACTACATTTAATGGTGCCCTCCATATTAAAACTTTAGACAGGAAAATAATCTGCAGAGGCAAGCTACTGGAGATAAATCAAATTACAAAAATGCAGGCTTTAATACATCACTTGAGAGATGCTGTCTGTTACATTTTCACTTCTGTTTCTTTAGGTGGAACAGAGGAATACTGGAGTGCATTAAATTATTTTTATAATTATGAATCTAATGGTTTTATTGTCATCATTAAGGCTTTGCCTATTATGACACATGACAAGTCATATTCCTGAACAGTTGTACTCTTCTCATTTGGAATGCACTGAACTGGTATATTTAGAAGTAAATGAGAATTAGTTTAATATTACTCATACTGTCAAGGCTATTATTGATAATTGGCTGTGCTTCTAAATACCTCCTCTGTGTTCACTTTCAGTGCTGAGTCTTCTTCCACACAAAATATACTCAGTCATTTTAAAGTCAAGGACATGAAAGGAAAATGGCTTCCCTGCTGCAAAAGTCTCATTGCAGTAGTGAGAATTTCTCAAGTCACGTACAAAGGGCATGGACGAGGAGATACACTACATTATAAGCTCAGTGGAGACATTCGGTAACATCTGATCTGTATAGGCAGTTACCTGTGGTTTAACTTTACTGGCATAGTAAAAAATATTAGCTAAAAATAAAAATACAGAATTATAATTCTTAAATTTTGCAAAATCTACAAGGTCTGCAAGTTACCGCAAACCACAAGTGAGCTTATTCTCTAAAGGCTTGTTTAAGGTCTGACAGGAGTTCTTTTGCAGTATTCTTAAACATAGTTCTTTACCTTAACTTCAGACTGGCTCCACTATTTAAAGAAAGGTTTATTAGCATTACTGTGGCTGAATTCAGCAAAGTTGAAAGGAGGTTTAAAGCTTCTGATTCTCTACATTTGTCAGCTGATAAATGTTTTAGTCATATTTTTATACTTGTGATGATAATAAAACTGTTACTTTATATACACACAGTACAAACTTGACCTATATGCAAGACTGGGATAAATTAAAAAAGAAACCAGGGTACGTTTCTGAGAACAACCAATGCAAACCAGAAATAAAACAGGTTTTTGTGTGTACAGCTTTATAAACATGGCATCATTTAAGAACTGATAGCCGCATGGAAACACAAAGTGAGATCACATTCTCAGTTAGAACTAAGAGGAAACAACTGCGACATTTCCATTTGCATTGTGATATTGCTACTAAAGAGAATAACATCTTTCTACATCTCTACCATTGAACCTTTTTAAAGGATTTGGTTGCCAAGGAAACTGGTTCTGGCCCAGTATTAATCTGAAAGAAATATATTATGAGTTGGTGTAAGTAATACAGTACTCATAATGATTGTTATTCTTTATACTCAAATTCAAGGTTTTGTACTTAAGGCTGTTAAGTTTTTATTTAATAATTTTTTTTTGTGTGTAGTAAAACACATTTCAGTGAACTGATACTCAGTTTAAGCTGACAGGGCCATCTATATCAATCTCTCTCTTTAAAGTTCTCCTACCTTTAAATAACAAGAAATACTGCAGTTTTATGTTTGTAGCCAATACTGAAAATATAAACATTAAAGCATATTATTCTTTATTTAATATTTCGCACAAAACACAAAACCGCTTATGACAGAATTTAAATATTTTTCTTTTTTCTAATCTTCCTCAATTTTTATTTCTGCCTTTTAGCTGCAAGTTTAGTAGTGCTTATAGTCAGCTTTAAAATGTAATGGAATCAATAAGGTTTTCAAAAATTCTTTTGTTGCATAAGCGTTGCCACGCCCTTTGTACATATGATTATTTTAACAGACATGATTGCTCCACTTTCACAACAGATTTAAAAAAAACAGATACGAGTAATTGCCATGCCAACATGTGAAGCCAACAATTTAATATAGGTTGTTTTCATTAACAGTTTAGTGAATTTTAAAACTGAAAGCCACATTCCAAAGCCCATTTCATGTTCTTGCAACACTGACCAAGAAAACAGTAAAACATGCAAATCTCAACCTACCTGCATGTACCACTTAGAGCAGTGTTAACATGGCAATGCACCCAGCCATTTTTATGTAAAACGATGGAGATAAGTTCTGTTCGTGGTCTTCTTGATAATTTTTTAGCAGCAGTTGTCAAAATTCACATGGGAAGCAGCTTGAATAGACCGTGAGCAGAAGAACTGAGTTTATCAACAGGGAAAGCAGGAGTGGGAAAAAAAAGTCCTCATCCAAGGTTTTCCAAAACTGCAAAACAAGGTTGGCTTTTTTTTTTCTCCTCCTTAGAGGGTTCAAAGCTTGAAGCTGACCACTGCAAAGGCCACTTGTCACATTTACTGAAAATCAACCTATTGATATCACAGCTGAAAATATAAACTCGACAACCAAAGCCCATTGCACAACGTGGACTGCGTAAGAGTTAAAAATAGATTTGACGTGCCTCCTACCTGCATAATAAATATGTAAGTTTCAAGTGCTTTAATTCGATATTCACATTAATTAACAATACAATATACATTATTTAAACTACAGTAAATGCAAGAAGAAAAAGGGTGACACCATCTGGAAGCACAGTTTGCTTTTTTTTTCCCTTTCCAAGGGCTAATAATGTAGTTTGAATGTGATGACAAGCTAACAGCTCACCACATTGCAAATGAAAAAAGAATTCTTAAGGTGATGCTCAAATATCTAAGCCTGTAATGAAGCAAAAACCAGTCTTCACTACTGCATGACATGGCACACAGACCATTTACATACTCACATTTGAGATACTAGGCACAGTATAATGAATTCAATACACAGCATGCACACAGCACAAGCAACGTTAATCCTGCCTGCCATTTTAGGCTTGCAGGAGTAAGATACATACTGCAGCACAGCTCTGGTAAGGGAGGAGGCAGGGGACAGCTCACCTTAAATGCAGTATCTGATTAATGTTGTAAGTGACATTGCGTATCAGCTACAGAGTCTTGGTTCAACTGGGTGGGAGGGAACAAAGAAAATTGTCATCAACTGGTGATGCAAGATGAGCTCCAGTCACTAACACTGTTAGCAAACTCCAAATTCTACAACGATACAGTAGTAGGCATTTCAAACTCTTATCAAAATCTGCTTGTGCAATGGCTGAGTCGCCTGCCGAGGAAAACAAAACAGTCTTCTTGCTTATTGGAGAAACGCTGCATCCACTACAGCAACATCCTCTTGATGCAGAAAGATTTCACGTCGCACATATTAAATCCTGAATGCATTTGCTGTGCTTTCTTAATTTTTAAGTTCCAGTATTTAAAAATAAAATTAAAAGCCAATGATAGCAAAAATAATATAGCTAAATATCTAATGTTCAGACAAATAAAACATTCATTTTTCTCTCCTTTCTGTTTTCTCTCTTTTACAGTCCATCAAAATCCTGAGCAGTATTGACAAACCACACGAGCACCGGGTCTGACTGCATGATCAGCTGTCTGTGTCTACGCTACACCCTGTTAACCACAAGCAGTGTTAGAGCTAAATATATCTGCAATGCAGAAACAGTAGGTGCTATGTGGTATACAATTCTGATTAGTTTTAAGATATTTTTCTATCCTCAGATATAACAAATAAAACAAAATTTGCTGCCGATCTCTGTCAAGCATGGTATCTGTCAGACCTACAGAACATAAAAGCTATCCTAAGTACACTGACCTAGATAACACTAAGAAGACTTAAGCAGCGTGCAAGCATACTCACTGTCAAAGCAAGGAAAACGAAACAATGATTGTCTAATCAAACTGAAAGCAACAACTCACTAGCACAGTATAAATTCCAAAATGCTACGTACTGTATATGCACATCTCATGTTATTGGAAGGCGCAAAGCTCCTTTGTTTTTTTTTTCTCGGCAGCTTTTCTTAGCTACGTTTGCACAATGACATTCTGACATCATGGAGGTCAATGCAGATACTAAAGTGCTGTCGTCTTGAAGAAAAAAAATTGAAATATAAAACCATAGCTGCAAAGATAATAATAATAATAATAATAATAATAATAATAATAATAATAATAATAATAAAAAATTTCACATCACCTACTTAATGTCTTTCTATTACTCTCTGAGATTAATAGCACATACGTTTTTCAGCCGCATACGTTAAATTGGTATCACCCTCTGCAGAGACTGCAAGAGTAATTGTAGGAATTAGATTTTTGTAAATGTCAAAAAAAGGGTTTTCATCTGGAAAACTTAAAAATACAACAAAATATTTTGCATGTATAATGAAAAATATGCAACGAGAAAAGCATCAAAAACTGCCAATCTGATTTTTTAAAAAAAAAACGCCTAATAATCAAAATTTTCATTGTTGCTGTCTCCAGAAGGAGAATGAGAGAACCATGCTGCAGTTTATTGTAACCTGAGTTACCTTCCCAGAAGTCTAAACCATCAGGTGAGGTAAAACAAACCATATGATATACCTGTTTAGAGAGTAAAGTCCCCCCCACTATGTCGGTGACTTCTCTCAGCTCTTTATCTCTCTACCTGCAAATACCGCAAGATGATATCTAGCACAAGAACAGAACTGTGAAGATTAATGTGTTAGCTCTAAAAATATTCCACTGAAAGATTTCCTTGGGTAACCATTGTTTACCACATGTATAAGTAAATCTAGATGGTTTCTGAGCAATTGCAGAAATAAGCAGCTCTTTGTGAGGCCAGATTTGTACAGAGAAGCACTAGCTTTCATTTGACCTGCCAGTACGGCTGAGGAAGAAAGCAGCCAAATTTCAAACACATATTTTTTTCCCTAGGAACCTGTGTACATGATGATTTTTTTTTTTCTCCATAAAATCACCTCTTTTTGAAAGGGGAGACTAATACCAAGTATTGTATTAAATCAGAAAATGTTGCACAGCAAAGACTAGGCTGATGTACATATGATTCACTTATTTTCAAAAAATAGAAAATATTATTTTGCTTTTCTACACCTTTTTTAAAAAATTATTAAATAGGTATCTGTTTAATTTGGATGTTTTTCTTTGGGAAATTATTTGGCATTTTGCTCTCTTTCATTTTAAAGGCTGGGAATGAGATGTTCCTAACAGTCAGTGCTTTAAAATATTCAGAATCCCCTTCCATAAATAGCACATCTGTCACAGAAAGGGAATCCAGCCAACAGAAAGGCAGATCAGACCAGCAAAAACAACTGCTATTCCAATGCATGATTACGAAATAAGTTTGGATTTTAGCAAGCCTTTATTTAGATTTTTTTGTTTGTTCTGAGGGTTTTAAAGTATGAGCTGTCTGATTATATAGATGCCACCATATATCAAATATATAAAATATATCAAATTTAAGAATGTTAAATATGGATTAATTTTGAGGGTGTTTAATGTTCATCTCTTAGTCAAATGTATATTGTCATGTTAGTTTAAAACCATGGCAAAGTTCCTATAGATTTCAAAAACAGAAGATTTGGGCTATATGGAGCCATTTGTTAAAGTATGATATTATTATTTCAGAAGCAAGTGGTAGTTTTATTTAAAGACAATGATTTCCAGCAAAAGACCGATTTCAGTGGAGTCTCACAATAAATATATCTGTTGCTGCATTCTTGAAGTCAGCATTCTCATTCACTCAGATAAGAAGTGCTCTGGGACAGACACAACAAGGTGATCTGGGTTGTGTGATTTAGGAAACATTAAAACCCTGCTGGAAGTGAACACAGCAGAGGAATAAACATTCCACACTGAACAGGGAAGTGACTTTGTCCAAATCTTTATGCGTATCTCTTGCCTGAATGGGCCACTTTCAGTGCTTAGTAATAGTTTTGTAGGCTTAGATTTGCAATGATTTTGCTTCAGACTCAGCATCATTTCAGCTCAGAAATCAGTCTCTAAATCCTTCTATAATTACACAATACATGCCATAGTAAATAAATACATTTTAAAAAGTGCACTTGTATGTTGCACAAAGTAAGTCCAATTTTTCAAGGTTGACATATATGAATACTGTATGTTACTTCTCAGTCAGCAACTTGGATTTAAGTCTAACATGATTTGTGCCAAAACTTACAGTCCCAAGGCACAGTCTCACTTGAATCCTTACGTCCAAATTCCCTGCGTCTGCAAGGTCAGGACTACCTCTATCCATGCTATAGGCTTGTATTGGTTCTGTATTCAATCAGCTTAAAGTGAGCCTATTTCAAGTATCCACACTGGATCTCACAGGCTATTTGTGCTGCAGCCTTTCTCACTTTCAAGCATCCTACTTGTAAACACACTTCCTCTTCCTTTATTTATCACCACTCGAGTGCAACAACATCTTATCGCTTCTCACATACTATTGCTTATCAAAACTGGTGAGGAACGAAGAGTTGCAGCATCACTTCATATTGAGCATTCTCCTCATGATATATGTTTTTTTAGAGGAAATGTCCTAGTCCTCCACATCAATCATTTGGCAAAAGGAGGTAGAGTGTGGAAACAAAGACTCACTTGAAGTCCCTAAACTGTACTGATTTTTATCTCAAAATATTGCCACACCTTGTCTTCCTAAGAAGGAAATACTATGGGCAGTTTAATAGTCTGGGAATTCTACAAGCACTAACCTTGTAAATATCCGGAGGAAGACTAGGAGACTTTGAGAAAAAAGTGACAAACACTTTTAATTTTATATGTGTCTGTCATATAAAGCTTGCTTCTGTCTTTCTTTGACAGTGGCCCAAGCCCAATTGTGCCTCCTTCTATACAGAAGACATGCTGCATGTAGGACTTCTGCTTAATAGTAGTGAACAGATTTAATAAGTGAATGAACAAATGAACAAACACACACACTTGGGTTCATTCCCACCTTAGTACTTGTACTTTTGTTTCTTTTGTTTTTAAAATTGTTCGTCAGATAAATGAGCAGCATATAGCAATCAAGGGACAGAATCAGCTCCAACCCTCAAGAAACTGTAGTCAACTGTTTGGTGATATAATCCCTGCAAAGCAATGACAAGGGGACATGAAGGACAGCTGGGAATCCAGGGTGGGTGTTTCTAAAAGGGCATTCCAGAACTGGCTACAGCCTATCAGCAAACCTGCTCTTGGAACGACTCCTTCAGCCTCTGAATTTAGCTGCATTAATTATGTTTGTCTCTTCATTTCACTAGTGCTATTGCATAAAACACATTATTGATGAGCACTTAGTTTGAAATTCAGAGTTATTTTGGAGAACAAAAAACCCACACCCTTTATCATGAACTAAAATTCTCTGACCTAACACACTCAGGAAAGCATCCAAGTACCCAGACACTGAGCCTAGTAATTAACCTGCTGCTCAGCTGCCTTCCATCCAAACTCCTGCTGCTACAACCTACATGAAGAAGCTGCCTTCTTCAGTACTGAAACCTTCACTAGTTGTTGTTGGGATGTAGAAAGCAAGGCAGGGGGAGGAAAAAAAAGGACTGATGGTAGAACCTCCACTCCAGAGTTTGCCTTGCTAGAGCCAAAGTAAAGCACATTTATGCCTGATCCAGCCAACATACCCTGGACTTCCTTTTGTGTACACATCAGTTTAAATTGCCCCAAGAATACAGACTAACTCAGTTGAATGCTGACAGTTTTCCCAGACTTTCCCACAATTCCTTCTGTGTCTCTGTGTGGCTACGAAGTCTTCCATTATTTGCTGGGACTGAAAACAGTTGTTCTTTGTTATTCCTATGAATGATTTATACAGCTTCACTTTTAATTGTCACACTCATATGAACAGAACACCAAAATAATATCTAAGTGCTCTAAGATGCAATTTTAGACTTTTTCAGTTCCTGTCAGATAGAACTTTTCTAGCTGAATTAAAAGAGCAGTTTTAAAAGAGAGAAATTAAAGAGAGAATTAAAGGCAATTCCTTTTATAAAAGGCAAGTACTGACAATCTAGAAAAATAGCAAGTACCTGAATATTATGAAATGTATTCAGATATTCCCTTGTATTAATGTGTTATGAATATGCATTAGGAAAAAGCATAGGCTTTCCTACACTGAAGGATCCCAGACAAGTCATGTATTAAGATACACTGAGATGCTGGATGGTTTTTCATTAAATGCTTCTAAGAGCTACTTACAGTCTAGTACTCTACAATCCATAAGTTTTTTAAGGATAGAACACCTGAGATTCACTGTAAACAAATGGCAAAGAGAAGGTTTTAAACCACTGTAGAATCATCCATGGAATCTCAAGAAAATGATACCTTTACATATATTTGCACTCACCTTTATAAGTTATATTTCTATATAATATGACACTCACAGTAATTAGCAATAACAAGTGGCTTTGTTTTGATTTTTCTCTGAATAGTCCTTTAAGTACTGATGAGCATGGTCTCTCCATCTAATTCTATCTCCTAAGGCACTACTTGCTTTCGAAACTGATGCCAGACACTATGACAAAGGTCTCAAATTTCTGTCTCTTCTCACTCCTGGCTAATTCACATGATTAGTGAATGCAGGTATTGTATTTTTATCAAATT